AAAAGCTTTAAAAATTGGAAAGGTATACAAATATTTATATATAAATATAATGGACGGAATTATAATTATTATATGTAATTACCAATAGTAACACAAAATGTAAATTTCCATCCATAGAATAAAAATGGTATAACCAGATAATAGAATACTCAGCAGCTACATAAAAAACATGCTCTCAAACAATATTTAAGGATATAATGTATACAAAATATTATGTCTGGGTGACTGGCTGGCTCAGTTGATTGGATCCTCTTGATTTTTAGCTCAGGTCATGATCCCAGGGCTGTGGGATCCAGCCCTGTATTGTCAGACTTGACGCTGAGCATGGAACCAGCTTAAGATTGTGTCTTTCTCTCTTTCTGCCCCTCTCCAGCTTCTGCTCTCTCTCTCTCAAGTAAGTAAAAACTGTCAATTTGTAAAACATAGCCACATACAAGCAGCTAGAAGTATTTTTTAAATTATAGCACAAACTTCTTTTATCATTAGGACAGAAAATGATGTAGGATTAAGTATGTTAAGAAAAGAAAAATATACTTTCGAACTTAAAAAAATAATCAGGAAACAAATTCAGGAGAGTTGTAGACTACAGGACGACTCCGGACATAACATGGGGCACAGTGTTACGCAGGTTCGGTTGCAGTAAAGCAAATACTGCGGTACAGCGACTAACGTGAATCGTTTGGTTTCCCAGCGCAGAGAAGTTCTGTTTACACGCGTTGCAGTCTATTAAGTGTGCAACGTCTATTTAACTTTTTTTAATGTTTCTTTATATTCGAGAGAGAGAGAGACAGAGCTCAAGCGGGGAAGGGGCGGAGAGAGAATGAGACACAGAATCTGAAGCAGGCTCCAGGCTCTGAGCTGTCAGCAGAGTCTGAGGCGGGGCTCAAACTCATGAGCTGCGAGATAAGACCTGAGCCAAAGTCAGACGCTTAACCCACTGAGCCACCCAGGGGCCCCAAGTGTGCAGTGTCTATTTAAAGTGTGCAATGATGTGTCTACAAAAACAACGTACACACTGTAATTAAAAAATACTTTATTGTGGGGCGCCTGGGTGGCTCAGTCGTTTAGGCGTTCGACTTCGACTCAGGTCATGATCTCACAGTTTGTGAGTTCGAGCCCTGCCTCAGGCTCTGTGCTGACAGCTCCGAGCCTGGAGCCTGCTTCGGATTCTGTGTCTCATTCTCTCTCTGCCCCTACCCTGCTTGTGCTCTGTCTCTGTCTCTCAAAAATAAATAAACGTAAAAAAAATTTTTTTTAAATACCATATTGCTAAAAAATGCTAACCACCATTGGAGCTTTCAGTGAGTCATAACCACCCATCACACATCAACATAACAAAATAATGAAAAAAACTGAAATACTGCAAGAACCTTTAAAATGTAACAAAGACATAAAGTGAGCTGATGCTGTTTGAAAAGTGGTCCCAACAAACTTGCTTAAGGCAGGGCTGCCACACACCTTTACTTATTTAAAAAAAATTTAAAAAGTGAAGCAGTACCTGCGAAGCACAATAACACAAGGTATGTACTTGTATATAGGAATCTGTTGTTGGCATAAGCTAATGAGCTATCAGAAAGAAAAATAAGAAAGCAATCCGACTCACAGTTGCACCCCAAAACCACGAAGGAATCAATTTAACCAAGGAGGGGCAAGACGTGTGCACTGGAAACCCTAAGACCTGATGAAAGAACTGAAGACAAGAATAAATGGGAAGGTTTCCATGCTCGCGGACTGGGAGAATTAATACTGTCAAAATATCCACGCTACCCAAAGCAATCTAGAGTCAGCTCAATCCCTATCACAATTCCAGTGGCATTTTTCACAGAAATAGACGAAATAATCCTAAAATTTAGGCAGAACCACAAAAGACCCCAAATCGCCAAAGCAATCTTGAGAACGAAGAGCAAAGCTGGAGGCATCATGCTCCCGGATTCCAAACGATATCATAAAGCTACAGTAATCAAAATAGTATGGTACTGGCATAAAAACAGACACACACCCCAGAAATAAAGCCAACTAATTTACAACACAGCAGCAAGAATATACGAGGCGGCCAGAACACTCTCTTCAAGCAATGGTGCTGGGAGAACCGAAGCCACGTGCAGAAGAATGAACCTGGACCCCTATCTTACACCACAACACGACCCAACTCAAAATGATGAAAGACTTAAATATAAGACCTGAAACCATAAAACTCCCAGAAGAAAACAGGCAGTGAGCTCCCAGACATTGGTCTCAATGATGACTTTTTGGATTTGACCCCAAAAGCAAAGGCAACAAAAGCAA